GACTGGCAGCTTCTCAAAGACAAGGACAAAAGGCACAATGTCAATTATTTTATTTTGTGGGGTTTTTTCTTTTCTTTTCATTTCTTTTTGAGGCGGTTTTCATGTAGCTCAGGATAGCCTCATCAAACTAGTTATGTAGCCCCAGTGACCTTGAGTCCCTGACTTTACTACCTACATTTCCCAAGTGCTAAGATTACAAAAAGTCACCATATCTAACAAAATAGTATTTTGAATTCCTGTCACCTATTATGGAATGGTGAAGTGTGGAACAGGACTTTATTTCATTGGATGGATGCACCAACATGCTAAAGGAAAAGGCTGGGGCTAAATAGGTATAAAGGAATGCAGAGTAAATCCATTCCCTTCAGACACTCAGCTTCCTATAATTATCTATTTATTCACTTACAAAGCAAATATTGTTTCCCCATTACATTCTAGGCCAGGGATTGTGTGATAGGATATTTAACGATCAATAAGAGAAAGTTAAGGCACTTGACCATTGAGATTTGAATCTCAATGTCAGGGCTGCTGTATGAGGAGAATGCTGGGGAGGGGAAGGCAGAAGAGAAGCCACTAGTGGGAGACACCATGTAGAGATTGGGAAGATAGGATGCACCAGGCTTTCTCTGGTAAGATAAGGCCATGTAGAAATACATAGATTAGTAGTTATGGATTAATCACTAAGAGAGAGCTAGCCGGTAAGAAGCCTGAGCCATCGGCCAAACAGTTTCTAATTAATATAGCTTCTGTATATTCATTTGGGGCTAAAAAGCTGCAGGACCAGGCAGGAAAGAAACTCCCAACTACACGAGAAACCTCAGTTTCCCCAACTGTTATATAAGGATAATAATAGTATCAGTCACAGACAGATAAATAATTTACTCCTAAAAGTAAAAAAGGGTGCCATCCTGTAAACTTACCACAGTAAGTCAGGGCTATTGGAGAACACAGCATATTAAAATCATATCAGGGAAAACCCGACCCAAGAACATATCAAACACACCAAATAGAGGAAAGGGTGCAACATGTTTACCTGGACTCCCCCCCAAAAGGAAGCTATCTAAAACTGTAATGGCAACATGTACTCTAAGCACCTGGTGTGTACACCAAAAGACCACGGGCAGAGAACTCCCAACTGACCTGGGAACTTCAGCTTGAGTTGGTCCCCAATGAGGGTTAGTTCTATTTTTGTCCTTTAATCTCTCTTGAATTGGCCCTACATGTTACCTCTATGACCTGCACAGTCCTACACCTGGGTGGATGGATCAACCTGATCCTGAGGTTTGACTTGACTCAGCTAACAGTGTTCCAGGGACCAGTGTTTTCAGCTCAGTTAATTAATATCTTATCTAACTACCCTCAGTGGCTCTCTTTGTATCTGACTTCTTTGGAACCTCTTGAACTCCACTATGACTACCTGAATCCTTTGTAGCCATTCAGTAACCTACATGTATACATACTTACACATATATTTACTGAGTGATATGTAATGTGTGATCTGAGAGCTAAGACTAGTGAAGGTTGAAATGAAAGAACCCGTGTTTGCCTTAGCCAGCTATCAAGGGAAATTGCTAATCCAAACAGCAGCCAGCAAAACCAGTGTAGCTTGAGAATTTGTTACTCAATAAATTCTGACATGTAGAAGTATATAAATGTATCTGTCCATCTATACTTTTGATGTAGTATGCTCATGACAGATAATAAATGCATTGATGATTTTAAAGCTTTTAGAGTGTCTAACACAGGACAAATACTACTTAAGAGCTTGCTATTACTGTGCCACGGGACTGGCAAGGAGGCAGGCAGTGATTACGCCAACTCAGGATAACCCTAGGTGGATTAGAGAGTCAATAGGCTAAGACAAAATGTTGAGGGAAAAATCACGGGAGGCATGATGGAGGAGGCAGACTCTGAGCTGAGCCTGATGGATGGAGATGGATTTAGCATGTTATTGTGTGAACACATTTTACAGAGACAATAACCTTAAATCCCGAAAATTTGGGATCAGTTAGGGTTAATCTACATTCTGCTAAATGGCTTTTACCTCCCCCCATTCTCTGACTCCTTCCATGTCTCACTGGCATTTCTTGTGCACCTAGATTCATCTCCAGTTCCTTTCTTTCCCCAGAAGTACTGCCTATTCTCTCCTGCCTAGCTATTGGCCATCCAGCTCTCTATTAAACCAATCAGAAGGCACCTTAGGCATAGACATTCTTTACTGTGTACCAAAAGATTATCCCTCAACAGAGACAGAAGATGAACCCAGATCCTGGCTTTCCTGCTTATTCTACTTTATGCCAGGACATGTACTCATCAGGGCCACTGGGTTCATCTTCTACAGGAACCAAATCACTGCAATTGCTTTCCCCACCCTACAGGTAATTATTCAGGTGTTCCGGAACAGGGCCTTATGTAATCTCATTTCCCAACTTCTCTTCTTCTCAAAGCATGGGACTATCTAAACGTCATGTTTATTTTTAAACCACATCCCTACCATTGATTATTCACAATAACTTCTGTCATCTTTTCTGAAACCTACTCTTAATGTATGTTTGCCCATGCCAGTCTGTCCACCTCAATTCTTGGCATTGAGCCTCATTTTGGTTGTTATTCTTATTCTGTTCTTTCTCCTTTCACTCCCTGCCCCACCCACACCCCATGTTACTGGAGCTATTAAGAGAACTTGAGAGTCAGAAGCAGGTATATCTCTATGAGTTCGAGGCTGGCCTGATCTCTACAATAGTGAGTTGTAGGACAGCCAGAGCAAACAGTTAGACCCTGTCTCAAATAAATAAATAAATAAATAAATAAATAAACAAAACAGCAAACAGTTAGACCCTGTCTCAAATAAATAAATAAATAAATAAATAAACAAAAACCTCAAAACAACCACCAACAACAACAGAGTCAAAGATTGGGACCTGACAATTCTAATAAGCTAGGCTTGAACATCCGTGCTCTAGGCCAGTCCTGGCCAGGGTGTGGTCCTACCCGCCATTGACCTATCATTATTTGGACTATATAATTTCTCCTGCAAGGTGGTCTGACAAAAGTCAGACTGTGTGAAATCTCTTGCAGACAGATAAACTCCTCCATCAGCCTTCTCCTTCTCCCAGCATGAGACTCCTTGAGAAAACCTATTTCTTGGGGTCCACTATTTCAGCAGTCTGATAACTGAAGTGTCTCTTTAGTATATTTTCATTCCTGCCAGGGTAGTTACACAAGGACTATTCCCCAACTACATGAGAATTCATATTTATACTTGAGAGACTACACCCCTAGCCCCACACATTGCATACTGAGTCCAATTACACTGTGTTCGAGGCTGCTTCTTTTTAAAGAAAGGCAACCAAACTCTGTCTCTGTCTCTGTCTCTGTCTCTGTCTCTGTCTCTGTCTGTCTGTCTCTCTCTCTCTCTCTCTCTGCCCGCTCACCACTCACAGAGCTCTTGTAGCCATCAGGCCCAGCCATCTGGAGGTGGCAATCTTTTCAAAAGCCCAGAAAAACCTGTCAACAACAGACCCCTTGCCCTTGCGAGGGGCATCTTAGCTCAAGTTCACAGCATCTGTTGTGTTCTTGGCCCTTCCTTGGTGTTACCAGGGGAGTTGGGGTTCCTTCTTTTGGATCATTAGTCTTCCTAATAAGATAATTTAAAGACAAATTGAGTAGTATTGTATTAGAACTTGGGAGAAAAACAATCAGGCAAGCAGGCTGAAAACCTCCTTAGCTCTGTTTGCAGTGGAGGTGGGTGCTTACACCACAGAGGTGGGAGGCTGCCTGGAAAGTGAGAAAGCCCAGAGCACCAGAGAAGCAGGCTTAGGCTTTAGGCCAATATCTGAAAGGAAATAAAGAAAAGGAAGAAAATATGCCTAGTGCCTAGTGCAGAACTGAGCTCTTATGTCCCAGGTCAAAGAGACACAAGAGACACATAACATGGTTAGAAACAGAGACTGGTTATTAAGGGAAGAAAAACACTCCCAAAGAATGGGAGTGGGTGAGAGAGCTACGTACAAAGCCTAGGGGAGTGAGGCTCGAAACTTTTTATAGGACTTTTAAATGACACCTGCCTCTCCAAATTGTAGTTCTGGGGCTTTTCTAGCACTTGGTGTTGTATGAAACTCATGTCGGGAAGGGTTTCTGGGTCAACTGGCTTCTTTCACAAACTAACCTTGATGCTCTGACCTCCAGTCCCTGTCCTTCCCACAGCTTCTGAGAACCCGTTGCTGATGACTCACACCTGATTCCCTCTCAGAGCTCAGCCCTCTATAATGGAAGCAACCTCTACAAAGGTAATAGTGCTTTCCTGGGGTAGCCTGTTTCTTCGATTCATCAGTACAGGACATGAATTTCTGCCTGTTTGCTTTAATCTGGAATAATTCTAATGGGTCAGGCCAGGGTCAGAGCATTCCTGGGGAATAGCTAAGGACTCTAATGCAACTGTTTCTCTACTCAACTACAGCCTCTATCTGCTTCTGTTACGTCTTATAGTTTTTTTGTTTTTTTTTTTAAGCTCTGGTCTACTCAACTACAGCCTCTATCTGCTTCTGTTACGTCTTATAGTTTTTTTTTTTTTTTTAAGCTCTGGCTGACCTGGAACTCACTCTGTAGATCAAGCTGGCCTCGAACCCAGAACTCAGAGATCTGCCTGTCTCTGCCTCCCGAGTGCTGAGATTAAAAGCCTGTGACACCACGGCCCAGCTCATTTTACAGACCCTAAAGTACTTCCTACATCCCACACCAACCCACAATAAACCTCCTTGCACACCACTAGTCTCCTTTTCCCCACACTATAAAACTTTAATACTAGCTTGTCAGCTGTGACCATCTAAGCTCCTAGGGCTCCTAAGGCGTTGCAGGGTCATGCTCCTAGGACTGGGCCTGCAGCACACAGCACAAACTAAAGACTGACTGTTGGAAGGAATGGGAGGCTAAGGCCAATCAGACTGGGTCTCTGGTCACACTAGTAGGCGGGAACCGGAATCCACTCAGGGTTGCAGCTCATGGGAGTGGCCCTGAGTCCCCGCCCCGAGAACCAGCAGGAGGCGGGGCGCATGCACGCCGCAGCCCTTGCAATGCTACTGCCCGCGCCCCGCGCGCCCCGCTCCCGCGCCCCGCGCGCCCCGCGGGCGCGCCGCCCGCGCCGGCCCCGGGCCCCCCCTCGTCCGGGGGCCCCATCGGAGACCGAGGCGGGCGCTCTCTTGCTCTGCGAGCCAGCAGGGCCCGTGTACACGGGCGGGCTACGCGGCGGCCTGACGCCGGAGGAAACTACGCGGCTGAGGGCCTTAGGCGCCGAGGTGCGCGCCACCGGCCGCGGGGGCCTGGCCCCTCCCCACGGCCCGGGCCAGCTGCTCTGCCACCCTGTGCTTGACCTGCGGCGTCTAGGCCTGCGCCTGCGCACCCACGTGGCGGCGCTGGAGGCGTGCGCCGTGCGCCTGTGTGAGCTCCGAGGCCTGCAAGGAGCCCGCGCGCGGCCGCCACCCTACACCGGTGTCTGGCTGGGCGAGCGCAAGATCTGCGCGATCGGTGAGCGCGCCGGGGCAGAACCTGGGCGGAGCCAGGGCAGGGCCAACCCGGGGAACTCTGGGCTCCGAGTGCTCCTGACCTGCCTCACGGATATTTTAATATTTCAAGGCAGAAGAGTCTTCTAGTTCAGCACTCATGGATGGAGAAACACTAGGCATGAATTGCCAAGTTACTTCCTGTGACTCACAACGGGAGGACAGAATGCCAAATGTCAAACTTCCAAAGCAATGAAATCACTGTATTAAAGGAATCTCGAAAATAAGGGCGGCTGATGTGTAACCACAGACCCCACCCTGTAGAATTAGCCCCCTGACCCAGTCTGTGTTCCATCCAGGCCCCAAGGGACCCAGTCCAGGCCCACTTACCTTTCCCGAGGCCCCAAGGGGAGGGAAATGTAGCTATTCTAAGATATTTTGGCTTGCCTTGCAGGAGTCCGCTGTGGAAGGCACATCACATCCCACGGCCTGGCTCTGAACTGTTCTACAGACCTCACTTGGTTTGAGCACATTGTGCCCTGTGGACTGGTTGGGACAGGAGTCACTTCCCTGAGTGAGGCACTCCAGAGACTCATCACTGTGGATGAAGTAATGCCATCTTTCCTTGTGGCCTTCCAGGAGACTTTCAAGTGCACATTAATCTCTGAGGATAGCCCCAGCTGAAGGGCACTCATTCTTCTTAGCCCAGGGGCCATGGCCGGGCCGTAAAAAGCTTCTAGTCTGACTTGAGTCCCCAGAACCTGATTCTAGAACTGCTCTGTGAAGAACTGACCATGACCAAGGACAGATCCTGAGCTGTTGCTTCCTGTGTCTCCCTACCTACCTCAGGGGTCGCTATGAAAAGTCACATGCTACATAAAGCATTCCGTGACTGTTAACCCATGTTCCTTGGCTTGGAGACACTCTCGTGTCATAAAGTGATGTTTCTTAATTACTTGCTTCTTCTCAGTGCTGTATCTAACAGCGATTTGGGTCTGTACGTCTTTTGTGTTCTGTGGGAATCAAATCTCTATGACCCAGGTGAAAGGGATGTGATAAAGTTATTCTCAAAAGACCTGGGCCTGTCTTCAATAAAGGGGAAAGCCTCTTCAAAAAATAAAATGAGATTTTTGCCTTTCTAGGTTGAATCCCTCAAGTTTGGTAACTTACCTGATTTTGTTTGGGGTCAACAGAGATGGGCTAGAAGCTATGGAAAAGACAAGGGTAATTCTTCCTTGTACACAAATGCTATAGAGAGATTTTCCTACCTGGGATCCCTGGGTCTGTAGCAATGTCAGCTCTTGCTAAGTATGGAAACAGAAACTTTGTGATTTAAGACAACAAGGAACACATTACCTCATATTTTGTGGGTTAGGAATTGAAGAAATGTACCTAGGTTGGTTGGAGTCTTACCAGAGCTTGCATTAAAGATGACAGTTATCATTGGAAGGCTTAGCTGGTGCTTGAGGTCAGTTCCCAAGATGGATTTCTATTGTGCTTACTTGGTTGCTTCTAGTTGTTGACAAGAAGCCTCAGTTCCTTACGTGTGGGCTCTACTGCAGGGCAGCAGGCAAGTTTGGAGCTCCTGTGTCTTTTGTGACCTAGCTGTGGAAGTCGCACAGGCCTTTCCGTAGTCTCACAAATGGGCCTTCTTTGGAGTGAAAGGGACATCCCATTAGCTTCGAAATATGAAGCTCTTTGGGAGCCATCTTGGAGACTGGTTCTCATAACTGGTGGAAAGTAGATAGATCTTTGATTAAGACCCTGGTGCAGCACTTGGCACTATGGAAGTTATTTCTTCTATTTCCTCTCTCTAGGCTTCAGTGCTGCTGCTGTTCACTAGAAATGCAGTAAGAGCTGCATTGTAATTTGACATTTTCTAGGAGCCTCATTTAAAAGGCTTTTGTTTGTGTTTGTTTGTTTTTCTTTGGGATAGGGTTTCTCTGTGTAACAGCCCTGGCTGTCCTGGAACTTACTTTGTAGACCAGGCTGGCTTCGAGCTCAGAGATCTGCCTGCCTCTGCCTCCCGAGTGCTAGAATTAAAGGTGTGTGCCACCACTGCCCGGCTCAAAGAGGCTTTTTAAAAACAGGCTTTTTAAAATGTTAGTTTTAATACACTTGCCTCAATTCATTAAATAAATCTCCATGAAGTATATAACATTAATATTTTGTAGTTATCCACTAAGTTGTCAAAATTTGGTGCATGCTTTGTACTTTTAAGAACACTCACTTGACCTACCACATTCTACAGATGCTCATCGGTCACATGGGAATAGCCTTAAAACTGACTTTAGAAATGTGATACAGGCTCTTATGTAGTGCAGCTAGTCTTGAACAACTGATTCACCTGTCTCTACCTCCTGAGTGTAGAGTTAAGGCTAGGATGTAATTATTTCACTAGACCCAAGATACATGATGATAAATGGGTGTTTATTGGGGAACAATTACACAGAAAAATACAAAGAACTGTGGGAGTGTTTCTCTGTCCTTTCTGCTGGATCGGCTGACCCAGAAATGAAGCCCTAAGGAAAGCCATACCTCAAGCTTCCCTCTTTCTGCTTCAGGCTGCCTGAGGCCACGCCAAGGCCACCGTTACAAATTCACTGCAAGACCACTACAGTAGGGATTATAAGTATGTGCCTGAAACCATTCTTGCCTCCGTTTGCTTGATTTTTGACAATGGTCTCATAGCCTATGCTGACCTAGAACTTGCTATGTAGCCAAGATTGACTTTGAACTCCTGATCCTCTCTGAGAGCCTGTACTGTTCTGGGCCACAGAGAATAGCTTCATGATGGTGGATCGAGTTGACCTTCCTGAGCCACACTTTCACAATATGAAACACGGTGAAGGCATCTGCCTAGGCCTGAGAGGAATTACTTGGCTTAATGACAGGTAAAGTAGCTGAGAAGAGTATTGACACAGACCCGATTCTCAATAACTAGTCTCATTATGATTGTTTCATTCTGTTCTCCATTGTTTCTTTTTTCTTTCTTTCTTTCTTTCTTTCTTTCTTTCTTTCTTTCTTTATTAGTTTTTCAAGATAGGATTTCTCTGTAGCTTTGAAGGCTGTCATGGAACTCAGCCTACCAGGCTGGTCTCAAACTCAGAGAGATCAGCCTGTCTCTGCCTCCTGAGTGCTAAGATTAAAGGTCTGCTCCATCACTGCCTGGCTCCATCGATTTTCTTAAGGAAACTATCCCCAGGCCATTTAACTTCCCCTCACAGAAGTCAAGTCTTTAAGAATGGAGCTGTGGGAGATGCGCCACGGCTTCGGTAGCGACCAGCTCTTCTCTGCTGCCTGAGCGGTGCCAGCACCTTCCTCGGGAGCTTGCAGCAGCCGGCTGGCTCCTGCTCCACGGCAACCATGTGCGACCGGAAGGCGGTGATCAAAAATGCAGACATGTCGGAAGAGATGCAACAGGACTCGGTGGAGTGCGCTACTCAGGCGTTGGAGAAGTACAACATAGAAAAGGATATTGCGGCCCACATCAGGAAGGAGTTTGACAAGAAGTACAACCCCACCTGGCACTGCATTGTGGGGCGGAACTTCGGTAGTTATGTGACACATGAGACCAAACACTTCATCTACTTCTACCTGGGTCAGGTGGCCATTCTTCTGTTCAAATCTGGTTAAAAGCATGGACTGTGCCAAACACCCAGTGATCCATCCAAAAACAAGGACTGCATCCTAAATTCCAAATACCAGAGACTGACTCTTCAGCCTTGCTAAGGGAACACCTCGTTTGAATTTGTTGTGTTTTGTACAGGGCATCATCCTCTGCACGAGTTTGTGGTTATAAAATAATTAGTAAAACAGCTTACATTTGTATTTATTTTCTAGTCCATACTTCTGTACCCCGTTTTTTTTCTCCCTTAGGCCATTCCTTTAAAATAAATCTGTTGGAGATGTGAAAAAAAAAAAAAAAGAATGGAGCTGTGGGGGTTGGAGAGATGGCTCAACAGTTAAGAGGCAGTGGCTGCTTTCACAGAGGATGCTGGTTCAATTCCCAGCACCCACCTATCAGCTCACAACTGTCTGTATCTCCAGTTCTAGGGGATATAACACCTTCACACCAATGCACATAAAATAAAGTTAAATGAATTATTTTTAGAAGAATAGAGCTGTGACTATCTTGTTTCCTTCATATCTCTAGAAAAAAACTACTAGGCCTAGCATATAGGCATACAGTCCTAAATACTGAGTGTCATTGGACTCTTTAAAGTCTCCCATCCTGGGCTGGGGGATGGCTCAGAGGATAAACGGCTTGTTGTAGAAGTGTGAGTTTAAATCCCAGAACCCCAATACAAACTGGCACAGTAGTTGTCCTGGCTAGTTTTATGTCAGCTTGACATAAGCTAGAGTCATTTGAGAGGAAGGAACCTCAACCGAGAAAATGCATCCATGAGATTGGGTGGTAGGCAAGCCTATATTTTCTTAATTACTGATTGATGGGTGAGGGCCCAGCACAGGGTGGGTAGTACCACCCTGGGCTGGTAGTCCTGGGTTCTATAAGAAAGCAGGCTGAGCAAGCTAGAAGTAGCATCCCTCCATGGCTTCTGCATCAGTTCCTGCCTTCAGGATCCTGCCCTGTTTGAGTTCTTGTCCTGATTTCTTTCAGTGATGGACTACAGTGTGGAAGTGTAAGCCAAATAAACCCTTTCCTCCCCACCTTGGTTTTGATCATGGTGTTCCATTGCAGCAATAGAAACCCTAAGTAAAACAGAAGTACACATTTGTTGTTTTTTTTTAAGATTTATTTATTTATTATGTATACACTGTTCTGCCACCATGTATATCTGCACACCAGAAGAGGGCACCAAATCTTATTATAGATGGTTGTGAACCACCATGTGGGTGCTGAGAATTGACCTCAGGACCACTGGAAGAGCAGCCAGTGCTCTTAACCTCTGAGCCATCTCTCCAACCCCAGAAGTACACATTTGTAAACCAAGCACTCCAGTGGTAACATGGGAAGCAGAGGCAGAAGAGAAACCTGCAGGACCAGGTTGCCTGGCAAATGCAGTGGTAATAGCACAAGATATAAGATGGAAGATGTTGTTCTCTGACATCCACATGCATTCCATGGCAAGTCAACAATACACCACACAGAACACACACACAGAGAGACGTGCGAGCACACACACACCCACACACCCACCCACACACACACA